CCTGAGACGCCCTGACCCCCTGTGAGTGCATTCAGATTACACAAACACAAACACACAAACACACACACGCACACACACACAGACACACACACAGACACACACACAAAGACACACACACAAAGACACACACACAAACACACACCTCTCTGTCTCCTCCATGTGTCCTTGTATGTATATATACAAGGACACATGGATATATACATGTGTTTTACTATATATATAAATAAACAGCAGCAGGTCTGCAGATCAGCGACAGTAGCTCAGTTGGTAGAGCATTGGCCTTAAGGCCAGAAGGTCGTGGGTTCAATTCCCACCTCTGCACCTTCTCCATCGACTCCCACTGATGACTGCTGTCGTTGTGTCCTTGGGCAAGACACTTAACCCCACTTTGCCCAAAGCCCCCACTGAAAGATCAAGGCTATGCTCACACTCAGAGAGCAGCCGTCCTCCTGTGGACTCACCACCTGCAGAGGGTCAGTGAGGGGCTGGTGCTATGAGACTTGGGTGGCATCTCTGACTGCCACCCCCCTGACCCAGAAATGGATCAAAGGGTAGAAAATGGATGGATGGAAGGTCTGAAGATATTGTATTCTACAACCGTTTTTTTTCTTACTTTTTTCTAGCTGTAGATTATTTTTATTTCAGTACAGTGTTAATGGTTTTACACTGATCAGAGCAAAGAGGATGCATGGTCCGAAACAAGCAGATTAAGTGTAAATCAACTGGACAGAAGCGAATATTTTCTAAAAAATGCACCGGCAGGATTTTACAAAGTACTCGCGAGATGAGCTCCTTCTGCTACGACGAAGCACCCGATCCCTCTGGAGATCAGGAAGCGCTTCAGAGGATGTCGAGCAGGAGCTAAGAAGAAGGCAAGGACGTACCAGTAAAAACCATTCGTACCATCGATAAAAATGGGGAATGTTAACTCACTTCAAAATAAGTCAGAGGACTGTCTTTATCTCCATGACTGTAGTCTTTACCTCCATGACTGTAGTCTTTACCTCCATGACTGTAGTCTTTACCTCCATGACTGTAGTCTTTACCTCCATGACTGTAGTCTTTATCTCCATGACTGTAGTTTTTACCTCCATGACTGTAGTTTTTATCTCCATGACTGTAGTCTTTACCTCCATGACTGTAGTCTTTACCTCCATGACTGTAGTCTTTACCTCCATGACTGTAGTCTTTACCTCCATGACTGTAGTCTTTACCTCCATGACTGTAGTCTTTACCTCCATGACTGTAGTCTTTACCTCCATGACTGTAGTCTTTACCTCCATGACTGTAGTCTTTACCTCCATGACTGTAGTTTTTATCTCCATGACTGTAGTCTTTACCTCCATGACTGTAGTCTTTACCTCCATGACTGTAGTCTGATCACAATCTGATTCATCTAAAGCCCATATATGGGCCAAATGAGTGATGAGAATGCCCATAGTCTGTAGATCATTCAGGACAACAGAGGCCAGTGATGCTCTGAAGGACTGCTTTAAGACGACCGACTGAATATACTTCTTGGCTCAGGGGAGGACATAAACAAGGCTGTGGACAGTGTTACAGACTACATCCACTTCTGTACCGATGTCGTACAGATGTCGTACAGATGTCGTACAGATGTCGTACAGATGTCGTACAGATGTCGTACAGATGTCGCAGTGCCAAAGAAAACAGTCCACTGTTTTCCAAATAACAAACCTTGGATCACAAGTGACAACAAACACACTTTGAACCTAAAGAAACAGGCTTTTAAGGCAGGTGACAGGGATCAGGTGACAGGGACCAGGTGACAGGGACCAGGTGACAGGGACCAGGTGACAGGGACCAGGTGACAGGGACCAGGTGACAGGGACCAGGTGACAGGGACCAGGTGACAAGGAACAAGTGAGAACTGTCCAACACGACCTGAAGAGGACATTGAGACAGGCAAGGAGGAAGTACAAGAATGGTCTGGAGGAGAAACTGCAGAATAACAACACCCGTGAAGTGTGGAAGGGCATGAGGGCGGCACGGTGGCTGAGTGGATAGCACTCTCGCCTCTCAGCAAGAAGGTCCTGGGTTCGAATCCCGGCCGGACCAGGGCCTTTCTGATTGGAGTTTGCATGTTCTCCCCGTGTCTGCGTAGGTTTCCTCTGGGTCCGGTTTCCCCTACCACTAAAAATATGTACAATAGGTCTGGCATGTGCCTCCTGTACTGGCCCCGCTCCCAAAAATAACAATAGTAAAGACTCCGATGTGCAGTGAAAAGGCGGTATATAAATGAAATAAAGATTAAAGAAGATTAAAGAAGAGGGCCATTACTGGATACAAAGTGAAGGGCAGTGAGGCGGCCGCGAACGCCCATGAGTTTAACCACTTTTACAACCGGTTCGACTCTTCCCCTGTCCACGCTGATTCTGCTCTGACCTGTCCTGCTCCTCCCGGAGGCTCCACCACCTCTGCTCTGACCTGTCCTGCTCCTCCTGGAGGCTCCACCACCTCTGCTCTGACCTGTCCTGCTCCTCCCGGCGGCTACACCACCTCTGCTGTGACCTGTCCTGCTCCTCCCGGCGGCTACACCACCTCTGCTGTGACCAGTCCTGCTCCTCCCGGCGGCTACACCACCTCTGCTGTGACCAGTCCTGCTCCTCCCGGCGGCTACACCACCTCTGCTGTGACCAGTCCTGCTCCTCCCGGCGGCTACACCACCTCTGCTGTGACCAGTCCTGCTCCTCCCGGCGGCTACACCACATCTACTGTGACCGGTCCTGCTCCTCTCAACGGCTACACCACCTCTGCTGTGACCAGTCCTGCTCCTCTCAACGGCTTCACCACCTCTGCTGTGACCAGTCCTGCTCCTCTCAACGGCTACACCACCTCTGCTGTGACCTGTCCTGCTCCTCTCAACGGCTACACCACCTCTGCTGTGACCTGTCCTGCTCCTCCCCGAGGCTACACCACCTCTGCTCTGACCTGTCCTGCTCCTCCTGGAGGCTCCACCACCTCTGCTCTGACCTGTCCTGCTCCTCCTGGAGGCTCCACCACCTCTGCTCTGACCTGTCCTGCTCCTCCCGGCGGCTACACCACCTCTGCTGTGACCAGTCCTGCTCCTCCCGGCGGCTACACCACCTCTGCTGTGACCTGTCCTGCTCCTCCCCGCGGCTACACCACCTCTGCTGCTGCATCCTTCTGGAGGATGTCCGCGTGGAGCTAAAGAAGCTCCAGGGGAGGAAGTCTGCCGGGCCTGATGGGATAACGCCAAGGCTCCTGAAGGAATGTGCAGCGGAGTTAGCTGAGCCTCTCCATTCCATCTTTAACAAGAGTCTTCAGACTGGATGTGTCCCTGTCCGTTGGAAAACCTCCTGCCTGGTACCCGTCCCCAAGGCAACGAGGCCGACAGGATGCAAGGTCTACAGACCAGTGGCACTAACATCCGTCAGAATGAAGATTTTTGAGAGGCTAGTTCTCCGACTGCTCAGGCCACAGGTGGAGCAGGCTCTTGACCCCCTGCAGTTTGCCTATCGGGAGAACATGGGAGTGGATGACACGGTTCTCTACATGCTCCATCGATCCCTGTCCTTCCTGGATGGCCCAGGAGGTTATGTGAGGCTGATGTTCTTCCACTTCTCCAGTGCATTTAACACCATCCAACCTCTCTTACTGAGGGAGAAACTGGAGAAGATTGGAGTTGATCCATCTTTACCAACTGGATTTACAACTACCTCAGTGTGAGGCCACAGTATGTCAGGTTAGAGCGTGTCTGGGACTGTTGTGAGCAACACAGGAGCACCACAGGGCACTGTTCTGGCTCCTTTCCTATTCACTAGTCCTTGATGGACAGAGAGACAGACACAGAGACAGACACAGACACAGAGACAGACACAGAGACACAGAGACAGAGACAGACACAGACACACACACACACACACACACACACACAGACACAGAGACAGACACAGACACAGACACAGAGACAGACAGACACAGAGACAGACACAGAGACAGACACAGACACAGACACACACACAGACACAGAGACAGACACAGACACAGAGACAGACACAGACACAGAGACAGACACAGACACAGAGACAGACACAGACACACAGACACACACACAGACACAGAGACAGAGACAGACACAGACACAGAGACAGACACAGACACACAGACACACACACAGACACACACACAGACACAGAGACAGACACAGACACAGAGACAGACACAGACACAGAGACAGACACAGACACAGACACAGACACACACACACACACAGAGACAGAGACAGACACAGACACAGAGACAGACACAGACACACAGACACACACACAGACACAGAGACAGAGACAGAGACAGACACAGAGACAGACACAGACACAGACACAGACACAGACACAGACACAGACACAGACACAGACACAGAGACAGACACAGACACAGAGACAGACACAGACACAGACACAGACACAGAGACAGACACAGAGACAGACACAGACACAGACACAGACACAGACACAGAGACAGACACAGACACAGAGACAGACACAGACACAGACACAGACACAGACACAGACACAGAGACAGACACAGACACAGAGACAGACACAGACACAGACACAGACACAGACACAGAGACAGACACAGAGACAGACACAGACACAGACACAGACACAGACACAGACACAGAGACAGACACAGACACAGAGACAGACACAGACACAGACACAGACACAGAGACAGACACAGACACAGACACAGACACAGACACAGACACAGAGACACACACACAGACACAGAGACAGAGGTGGCACTGACACTCGTATCCGTCGGGCAGGTCCACACAGCGGCTCCCGGGGACACAGGGCTGGTCCTTGCACCACAGTCTGGTCTCACAGATGCGTCCACAGAAGTTGGTGAGACACGTGCACCTGAAGTCGTTCCAGGTGACCTCACAGAGGCCGCCGTTCAGGCAGGGAGCGCTCTGAGGACGCACAGATGGAGACCAGGATTAGGATCACGGACACTCACAGATCAGAGTCTGTCCGAGGGAGGTCGGACCCACTCTGACAGCAGCTAAGTGGCTTTTTCAGTTTGACTTGAAGGAAAGACAGTGGCTCAGGTGGTAGAGCAATGGCCTTTGAGGTTGGAGGTTGTGGGTTCTCCAGCGACTCCCACTGATGTCTGCTGTTGTTGTGTCCTTGGGCAAGACACTTAAACCACTTTGGCTATAAGGAGCGCGGAAGTTATGTTTGTTGCATACCTGGATGTGTTCATGGTCGTTGTTCTCTCCATATGGACCAATACACATGTGTTCTGTGTCTTAACTGTTGATTCTCTGATCTGTGTTGGTGATTTCAATGGTTGTGTTAAGTCTCTGAGATGATGCTGTTGTGGTTTAGGGCTATACAAGAATACATTGTATTGTGTGTGTATTCATCCTACTTCTTAAGGAAAGACTTGTGTTTGTGTTTGTGAATAAGCCGATGATCCAATCTCTCACTCAGTGCGTACGAGGCTGACATATGGCAGGTCTATGATCTGAGCCATAATCCCATTGGAATCTGCACTGACTCCAGCAGCTGCTACAGCCACCTCCACCTTCACCTCCACCTCCACCTCCATCTCCACCTCCACGTCCATCTCCACCTCCACCTCCACCTCCACCTCCACCTCCATCTCCACCTCCACCTCCACCTCCATCTCCACCTCCACCTCCATCTCCACCTCCACCTCCATCTCCACCTACTCCTCCACCTCCACCTCCACCTTCACCTCCACCTCCACCTCCATCTCCACCTCCACCTCCATCTCCACCTCCACCTCCACCTCCACTTCGACCTCCACCTCCATCTCCACCTCCACCTCCACCTCCATCTCCACCTCCACCTCCACCTTCACCTCCACCTCCACCTCCACCTCCACCTCCAGCTCCAGCTCCAGCTCCATTTCCACCTCCACCTCCACCTCCATCTCCAGCTCCACCTCCACCTCCACCTCCACCTCCACCTCCATCTCCACCTCCACCTCCACCTCTACCTCCACCTCCAGCTCCACCTCCACCTCCACCTCCTGCTCCACCTCCTCCAGGACTGAGGCTGGGTCTACAGCCTCAGTCCTGGATCTTCATCTAAAGTCCTCAGAGACTGTTGTGATTGAGTAATAAGTAAATGTCTCTGTCCTGTAACTAAAGCCAGTACATAGTTCTTCCGTTTCCTGCACAGTCCGTACCTTGCAGGTGTCGTCGCTGTGGCATCCGTCCAGCACGAGTTCCCGTAGCACCAGCGGGTAATCGCCGTCTCCCGCCTCCTCTGCGGAGGTGATGTGTCTGTGGTCGATCCTCACGTCCTGCAGGCAGCCTCTGAAGGGCCCTTCCCAGGGGCTCAGGGTTTCCTCTGGGGGCAGTCCTCCCAGAAACGCCACGTCCCCGGCCTCCAGCGTGACGTTCCCGATGGCGCGGCGGTTCCCCGCGTTGGGAAACACCACGTGCCCGTGCTGCAGCTGCACGGTGATGAGGCTGTTGTTGCCGTGGGCAACGTCCTTGGCCTCGGACACCAGCGTGGTGTGGGGGCTGTACAGGGCCACGGCGCCGTCCTTTAAGAACACGCTAAGGTAGGGTTTCTCTCGTCTTCGCAGCTGCAGGATCAGACCGCTCTGCTGCAGCGAGCGCAGCAAGAACGACACGCTGAAGTCCTCTCCGTGAAACTCAGAGACCGTGAACGCCGCAAAGCTGGAGGCGTTTTCTGAGCCGAACGTCCAGGACAGGTACTCTGTGGAAACACAACATGTGTTACCATGTGTGTGTGACCATGTGTGTGTTACCATGTGTGTGTGACCATGTGTGTGTTACCATGTGTGTGTGTCCATGTGTGTGTGACCATGTGTGTGTGACCATGTGTGTGTTACCATGTGTGTGTGTGACCATGTGTGTGTGTCCATGTGTGTGTGAACATGTGTGTGTTACCATGTGTGTGTGTCCATGTGTGTGTGACCATGTGTGTGTTAACATGTGTGTGTTACCATGTGTGTGTGTCCATGTGTGTGTGAACATGTGTGTGTGACCATGTGTGTGTGACCATGTGTGTGTTACCATGTGTGTGTGTGACCATGTGCGTGTTAACATGTGTGCGTTACCATGTGTGTGTGACCATGTGTGTGTGACCATGTGTGTGTGACCATGTGTGTGTGTGACCATGTGTGTGTTACCATGTGTGTGTGACCATGTGTTTGTGACCATGTGTGTGTTAACATGTGTGTGACCAGTGTGTGTGTGACCATGTGTGTGTTACCATGTGTGTGTGTGTTAACATGTGTGTGTTACCATGTGTGTGTGACCATGTGTGTGTTACCATGTGTGTGTGACCATGTGTGTGTTAACATGTGTGTGTTACCATGTGTGTGTGACCATGTGTGTGTTACCATGTGTGTGTTACCATGTGTGTGTGACCATGTGTGTGTTACCATGTGTGTGTGACCATGTGTGTGTGACCATGTGTGTGTTACCATGTGTGTGTGACCATGTGTGTGTGACCATGTGTGTGTTACCATGTGTGTGTTACCATGTGTGTGTTACCATGTGTGTGTGTGACCATGTGTGTGTGACCATGTGTGTGTTACCATGTGTGTGTTACCATGTGTGTGTGACCATGTGTGTGTGACCATGTGTGTGTGACCATGTGTGTGTTTCCATGTGTGTGTGACCATGTGTGTGTGACCATGTGTGTGTGACCATGTGTGTGTAACCATGTGTGTGTGACCATGTGTGTGTTACCATGTCTGTGTGACCATGTGTGTGTGACCATCTGTGTGTTACCATGTGTGTGTTACCATGTGTGTGTGACCATGTGTGTGTGACCATCTGTGTGTTACCATGTGTGTGTTTCCATGTGTGTGTGACCATGTGTGTGTGACCATGTGTGTGTTTCCATGTGTGTGTGACCATGTGTGTGTGAGACCATGTGTGTGTTTCCATGTGTGTGTGACCATGTGTGTGTGACCATGTGTGTGTGACCATGTGTGTGTTACCATGTGTGTGTGACCATGTGTGTGTGACCATGTGTGTGTTACCATGTGTGTGTGACCATGTGTGTGTTACCATGTGTGTGTGACCATGTGTGTGTGACCATGTGTGTGTTACCATGTGTGTGTTACCATGTGTGTGTGACCATGTGTGTGTTACCATGTGTGTGTGACCATGTGTGTGTGACCATGTGTGTGTGACCATGTGTGTGTTACCATGTGTGTGTGACCATGTGTGTGTTACCATGTGTGTGTGACCATGTGTGTGTTACCACGTGTGTGTGACCATACACACAACTACAGACCGGTATCCAACTTACCATTTTTAAGCAAAATTTTAGAAAAACTTGTTTTTACCCAGCTCAATGCCTTTTTAGATCAGCAGCAAATTTTAGAGAAATTTCAATCAGGTTTTAGGGTGAACCACAGCACAGAGACTGCTCTTTTAAAGATTTTAAACGATCTTAGACTAAGTTATGATTTCAAAAAGGTGACTGTGTTGGTTCTACTGGATCTTAGCGCTGCCTTTGATACAGTAGACCACACAATTCTTTTATCACGCCTACAACACCTCGGCCTCTCTGGTGCTGTCCACAAATGGTTCACTTCTTATTTAACAGACAGATCCTTCATGGTAAGTTTGGATACCTGCTCCTCTCAGGTCCATAAAATCACATGTGGTGTGCCCCAGGGTTCCATTTTAGGTCCAGTCCATTTTAACCTGTACATGCTCCCTCTTGGCGGTGTCGTCAGGAGACATGGAATTAACTTCCACAGTTATGCAGATGATACACAGCTGTACATCTCCATGTCTCCTGATGACACCAGGCCAATGGATGCTCTTTTTAACTGCATTTTAGACCTGAAATCCTGGATGGCAGAAAACTTTCTCCAGCTTAACCAGGACAAAACTGAGGTTTTAGTCATCGGTCCTGAGGCCCAGAGAGAGAAACTTTTATCAAAACTCCTATCACACTCTTTTAATCCATCATCACAAGTGAAAAATCTGGGCGTAATCTTTGACTCTGAGCTGACTTTTATTCCTCACATCAAGAGTATCACAAAAATAGGTTTTTATCATCTAAAGAACATCGCCAGAGTCCGCCCCATTCTCTCTCGGGGCAACACGGAGACGCTGATGCATGCTTTTATAACCAGTCGCATTGACTACTGTAATGCCCTGCTCTCTGGTCTTCCCAAAAAGAACATTGCAAGTCTTCAATTACTCCAAAACTCGGCCGCACGTGTCCTGACTAAGACCAGGGGGCGTGTCCTGACTAAGACCAGGGGGCGTGTCCTGACTAAGACCAGGGGGCGTGTCCTGACTAAGACCAGGGGGCGTGTCCTGACTAAGACCAGGGGGCGTGTCCTGACTAAGACCAGGGGGCGGGACCACATTACACCGGTTTTAAAATCACTGCATTGGCTCCCCGTGTGTTTCAGAATCGATTTTAAGGTTCTTTTAATGGTTTTTAAATGTCTTAATGGTCTTGGGCCTTCTTATCTTTCAGATTTGCTTTTATCCTATGAACCTTCCCGGCCCCTGCGCTCCTCCGGCAGCAGACTCCTAACCATCCCCAAAGTCAGGACACACACTCACGGCGAGGCATCTTTCCAGCACTACGGCCCCCGTCTCTGGAACAGTCTGCCGGAGGAGCTCAGGGCCGCAGAGAACGTTCATATTTTTAAAGCCAGGCTCAAGACGCACCTTTTTAGAGTAGCTTTTGATTAGTTTTTATTATTCCATTCTATTTATCTTTTATTATTTATTATTTATTATATTGCTATTGCTATTATTCATGTATTGTGTGTTCCTTTTAGTCTCACATTTTAGTGTTTTACTTATTGTATTGTTTTTAGTGTACCCAGTGTTTCCTCTGGAGAAGCCCTCTGCACTGGGAGCAGTGGTCGGTGTGGCTGCGAGGGTCGGACTCTTGGACCTGGTGGGGGCCTGGGGCCTCGGTTTCATGTCTCCTCTGGGTCCTGAGTCGTCCCCTGTGGCTACGGGCGGCTCTCTGCTCCTGGTGCAGACGGCTCCTTGGATGACGCTTTTTCAGCTGGTTGCATCTGAACCCTGCCAAGTCTCTCATCATGTTTTTATTGTTTTACTGGTGTGTGTGTGTGTGTGTGTGTGTGTGTGTGTGTGTGTGTGTGTGTATGAGTGTTCATGAGCGCGTGTGTGTGTGTTTGTCTGTGGTTTGGGGGGGGTCTGTTGGGTGGTCTGGGGGAGGGGTCTTGGGTCGGCAGGATTGTTTTTAACCAATCTGTAAAGCACTTTGTGTTGCATCTTATGTATGAAAAGCGCTTTATAAATAAAATTTGATTGATTGATGTGTGTGTGACCATGTGTGTGTTACCATGTGTGTGTGACCATGTGTGTGTGACCATGTGTGTGTTTCCATGTGTGTGTGACCATGTGTGTGTGACCATGTGTGTGTTACCATGTGTGTGTGACCATGTGTGTGTGACCATGTGTGTGTTACCATGTGTGTGTGACCATGTGTGTGTGACCATGTGTGTGTTTCCATGTGTGTGTGACCATGTGTGTGTGACCATGTGTGTGTGACCATGTGTGTGTGACCATGTGTGTGTGACCATGTGTGTGTGACCATGTGTGTGTGACCATGTGTGTGTGACCATGTGGTCCTGGTACATCCTGCTCAGACCAGATTCTCCAACGAGACAAAGTCATTTGTTTGTAAGAAACTTTATTTCCTCGTTCCACACATTTCTGTATCTTTTTAAAACCAGATCCTTTTGCTTTGTCCCGTTGGAGAATCTGGTTTTAAGGCTCAGTCAAAATGTGTCAAATTAAATCATTTTTTGCCAAATTTGAGAAATGTTTTATTTTTCATCACTTTCTGCAGTGTTGGTCCTGGTTCTGGGCGGAGCTGAGGGTCGGACATGTTTTTGACTCGAGAAAAGGAGGAAAGTAATTACAGAATCCAAACAGGAGCAGAGTCCTGAGAGTCACAGACCGAGACCTGCTCCCACATGGTCCCAGTCAGAGGTCAGAGGTCAGAGGTCAGTGTGGGAACAGCCTCAGTCCTGGGTCTACAGCCTCAGTCCTGGGTCTACAGCCTCAGTCCTGGGTCTACAGCCTCAGTTCTGGGTCTACAGCCTCAGTTCTGGGTCTACAGCCTCAGTCCTGGGTCTACAGCCTCAGTTCTGGGTCTACAGCCTCAGTTCTGGGTCTACAGCCTCAGTCCTGGGTCTACAGCCTCAGTTCTGGGTCTACAGCCTCAGTCCTGGGTCTACAGCCTCAGTACTGGGTCTACAGCCTCAGTCGTGGGTCTACAGCCTCAGTCCTGGGTCTACAGCCTCAGTCCTGGGTCTACAGCCTCAGTCCTGGGTCTACAGCCTCAGTCCTGGGTCTACAGCCTCAGTCCTGGGTCTACAGCCTCAGTCCTTCATCATCAGAGATGTTGCTGTTGTTACATAACATCACAGAATTCCTGGTGTGTGTGTTGTGTGTCTGTTGTGTGTCTGTGTGTGTGTGTACCTCTCTCGCAGCTCTCTCCATAGTAGGGCCGTGTGTGTGTTGTGTGTCTGTTGTGTGTCTGTGTGTGTGTGTGTACCTCTCTCGCAGCTCTCTCCATAGTAGGGCCGTGTGCAGTTGCAGCCGGCCCTCACCCAGAGGTCCACACACTCCCCGCGGCCCCCGCAGGCCTCCCCCTCACACCACTCTTCTTTGGTGCAGCCCAGTTCCAGGGCCCGGCTCTCCTCTCGCAGCAGGTCCTGGGGCAGCAGTGGTTTATGGTCCACGTACAGGTCCTCCATGCAGCCCACGAAGCCCCGCCCACTGCTGGTCCGGGACAGGAACTGGGCGGGGCCTCCTCCGATGTACATCTGCTTGAACAGAGCGGGCTGGAGGAACGCGTTTGAAGCTACTTTGCAGCCGTCCTCGCAGCCCGGCCCCTTCATGGTCATGACCATCTTGTCCTCCATGGTCACGCTGACCTCCCTCCACTCCCCGTCGGTCACTGGTACGGAGAAAGACGCCTGGAACACTTTCCCAGCCTTCACCTTGGCCCGCAGCTGCCCTCCCACCACCTCCAGGATAATGTAGTTTTCCACAGAGCCACGGAAGAACAGCACCATGTCGGGGAGGGTGGTCCTGAAGCGCAGCTGCACGTGCATCTCGCCGCGCATCTCGCCGCGCATCTCACCGTGTTTGCTCTTGTTGCTGACCCCGGGCGTGGTCATGAGCACGTAGCCCTGGGAGCGGAAGGAGAAGGTGGTGGAGGTGTTGCAGAGCTCGCCGCTCCAGCCCGGGCGGCACAGGCAGCTGTAGGTGTGGGCGCCGTCCTGGGACAGCGAGGGCGAGCAAGAGGCCTGGTTCTGGCACTGGTGGGAGTGGCAGCCGATGAGCCGCACGCCACAGTCCTGGCCGCCCCACGGGTCCTGCCCCGGGGCAGACGGGGCGGGGCAGTGGCATCTATACGAGGCCACGTCGTCTTCGCAGGAGGCCTGGTTCTGACACGGCGAACTGTCACACTCGTTTATGTCCACCTCGCACTGGACGCCTGGACACAGGAGAGAGGGGGGTCAGTCTGAGGGGGGGGTCTGAGGGGGGGGGTCAGTCTGAGGGGGGGGTCAGTCTGAGGAGGGGGGTCAGTCTGAGGGGGGGGGTCAGTCTGAGGGGGGGGGTCAGTCTGAGGGGGGGGGTCAGTCTGAGGGGGGGGGGGGGGGTCTGAGGGGGGGGGTCAGTCTGAGGGGGGGGGTCAGTCTGAGGGGGGGGGGTCAGTCTGAGGGGGGGGTCAGTCTGAGGGGGGGGGGTCAGTTTGAGGGGGGGGGGGGTCAGTCTGAGGGGGGGGGTCAGTCTGAGGGGGGGTCTGAGGGGGGGGGCAGGTTGACTACAAATACTACTACTACTACTATCACTACTACTACCACTACTACTACTACTACTGCTACTACTACTACTACTGCTGCTACTGCTACTACTGCTACTACTACTACTACTACTGCTACTGCTACTACTGCTACTACTACTACTACTACTACTACTGCTACTACTACTACTACTGCTACTATTACTACTACTGCTACTACTACTACTACTGCTACTACTACTACTACTACTACTGCTACTACTGCTACTACTACTACTACTGCTACTACTACTACTACTACTGCTACTGCTACTACTACTACTACTACTACTACTGCTACTACTACTACTACTGCTACTATTACTACTACTGCTACTGCTACTACTGCTACTACTACTACTACTACTGCTACTACTACTACTACTGCTACTACTACTACTACTACTACTGCTACTGCTACTGCTACTGCTACTGCTACTACTACTACTACTACTGCTACTGCTACTGCTACTGCTACTGCTGCTAGTAAGTCCTCCTCCGCCTCTGTCGAGCTAGTGTCAGTTCTCAGATGTTTCATAGATGATGTCATTACTGTGTTTTCCTCTGATGGTCACATGGGTCATCAGGACTGAACCACAGACCATCTGACACACATGTTAGTATGCACAGGTAACAGAACTGTCTTTAACCTGGTTTTAAACATTGTCAGAGAGGAGGCCTGTCTCACATCTTCAGGAAGACTGTTCCAGATTTTAGCAGCATGAATCTGAAAAGTTGGGGGCGACAGTAGCTCAGTTGGTAGAGCATTGGCCTTCAGGCCTGAAGGTTGTGGGTTCAATTCCCACCTCTACACCTTCTCCACCGACTCCCACAGATGGCTACCGTTGTGTCCTTGGGCAAGACACTTAACCCCACTTTGCCCAAAGCCCCCACTGAAAGATCAAGGCTATGCTCACAGTCAGAGAGCAGCCTCCTGTGGACTCACCACCTGCAGAGGGTCAGTGAGGGGCTGGTGCTATGAGACTTGGGTGGCATCTCTGACTGCCACCCCCCTGACCCAGAAATGGATAAAAGGGTAGAACATGGATGGATGGAAGGAATCTGAAAAGAAGCCTCCCCATGTTTAGTTCTGACTCTGGGCACTAACAGGAGTCCAGTCCCTGTGCTCCTCAGAGTCCCAGCAGGAGTCCAGTCCACAGGAGTCCAGTCCCTGTGCTCCTCAGAGTCCCAGCAGGAGTCCAGTCCCTGTGCTCCTCAGAGTCCCAGCAGGAGTCCAGTCCCTGTGCTCCTCAGAGTCCGGGCTGGTTCATATGGGACTAACATGTCACTAATATATTTTGGTGCGAGGCCATGGAGAGACTTGTAACAAGCAGAGCTGTTTTAAAGTCTATTCTCTGAGCCACAGGAAGCCAGTGCACAGGGACACAGAGCAGACAGAGCACAGGGACAAGGAGCACAGGGAGCAGACGGAGCACAGGGACACAGAGCAGACAGAGCACAGGGACAGGGAGCACAGGGACAGCATCAGGACAAACCAGATGCACCTGCTTCCTCTGAGCTCGGAAATGGCTCCTTATTAACTCTGAGGTGAACGGGACAAAGTAATGCAATAAACCCCACAGACGGATTACAGAGATCCCAAATTAAACAAACCTCGTCAGGTCTGGGTCTGGGTTTGGGTCTGAGTCTGGGTCTGAGGTCCTGGCAGTAGCCGTCAAATAGAATTAAAGCTCAGACACCGAAATTCAAGTCACTCGTCCCTCGCTTTAAATAAGTCACTGTTTTCACTTTGATCTGGGACACAGACAAGTTAAACCTGTTGCTTTCATACAGAGGAGTCCTGAGCCTCCTCCTCTCTGCACCTCCTCCTCTCTGCACCTCCTCCTCCCTGCACCTCCTCCTCCCTGCACCTCCTCCTCCCTGCGCCTCCCCCACCTCCAGCCTCTCCCCAGACCGTTCTCAGCCTAAATAGTCCAATAGTGATTCACTGCTATTTTTTAGTAAACAAAATGCTCCTAATGAGACAAAGATATGTGGTCTCTCTCTCTGGTCTCTCTCTGGTCTCTCTCTGGTCTCTCTCTGGTCTCTCTCTGGTCTCTCTCTGGTCTCTCTCTGGTCTCTCTCTGGTCTCTCTCTCTGGTCTCTCTCTGGTCTCTCTCTCTGGTCTCTCTCTCTGGTCTCTCTCTCTGGTCTCTCTCTCTGGTCTCTCTCTCTGGTCTCTCTCTCTGGTCTCTCTCTGGTCTCTCTCTCTCTTGGTCTCTCTCTGGTCTCTCTCTGGTCTCTCTCTCTGGTCTCTCTCTGGTCTCTCTCTGGTCTCTCTCTCTGGTCTCTCTCTGGTCTCTCTCTGGTCTCTCTCTGGTCTCTCTCTGGTCTCTCTCTCTGGTCTCTCTCTCTGGTCTCTCTCTGGTCTCTCTCTGGTCTCTCTCTGGTCTCTCTCTGGTCTCTCTCTCTGGTCTCTCTCTGGTCTCTCTCTGGTCTCTCTCTGGTCTCTCTCTGGTCTCTCTCTCTGGTCTCTCTCTGGTCTCTCTCTGGTCTCTCTCTGGTCTCTCTCTCTGGTCTCTCTCTGGTCTCTCTCTGGTCTCTCTCTGGTCTCTCTCTGGTCTCTCTCTGGTCTCTCTCTCTGGTCTCTCTCTGGTCTCTCGCTGGTCTCTCTCGGGTCTCTCTCTCTGGTCTTTCTCTGGTCTCTCTCTGGTCTCTCTCTGGTCTCTCTCTGGTCTCACTCTGGTCTCACTCTTCTCAGACTGAATCCAAACCTGAGCTCCAGAACGCAGCACATCCACAGATCCACAGCACGATCCACCCTCCAAACATCTCTGACCGACAGTCTCCACAAACACACACTGACTTCTGGGCTCCAGGCGCAGTGGTGGTGCCCTCCTCCTCTCCTCCACTCCTCCTTCACTCCTCTCCTCCACTCCTTCTTCACTCCTCTCCTCCACTCCTCCTTCACTCCTCTCCTCTACTCCTTCTTCAATCCTCCCCTCCTCGCCTCCTCCTGGTCCTGCCCAGCTCTCGCTCCTCCCCTCCTCGCCTCCTCCTGGTCCTGCCCAGCTCTCGCTCCTCCCCTCCTCGCCTCCTCCTGGTCCTGCCCAGCTCTTGCCCCTCCCCTCCTCCCTCCTCCTGATACTGCCCAGCTCTCACTCCTCTCCTCATCACCTCCTCCTGGTTCTGCCCAGCTCTCGCTCCTCCCCTCCTCCCCTCCTCCTGGTCCTGCCCAGCTCTTGCCCCTCCCCTCCTCCCCTCCTCCTGGTCCTGCCCAGCTCTCGCTCCTCCCCTCCTCCCCTCCTCCTGGTCCTGCCCAGCTCTCGCTCCTCCCCTCCTCCTGGTCCTGCCCAGCTCTCGCTCCTCCCCTCCTCCCCTCCTCCTGGTCCTGCCCAGCTCTCGCTCCTCACCTCCTCCCCTCCTCCTGGTCCTGCCCAGCTCTCGCTCCTCCCCTCCTCGCCTCCTCCTGGTCCTGCCCAGCTCTCGCTCCTCTCCTCCTCGCCTCCTCCTGGTCCTGCCCAGCTCTCAGTCCTCCCTCGCTCCCATCTCTCATAAGTACGGTGTAAGCTGCCAGGAGCCAGCTGGTCAGAGTCACTGTCCGAGTGAGGAATGCTCTGCAGCAGACAACCCCCGCCCCCTCACCCCCCCCTCACCCTCCCTCACCCTCCCTCACCCTCCCTCACCCTCCCTCACCCTCCCTCACACCTCCTACGCCTCCCCCACACAAGGAGGTGCCACAGCATTAGGTTCAACAGGCAGCAACTTTTAGAGTTTTTTAGTTTTGTCCAAACAGAACGAACCAGACCATAACATGCCGTCTTCCTTTCATTAGAAACAACTTATAAACAACTCTGGTCTCTCTCTCTGGTCTCTCTCTACTCTCTCCCCCTGGTCTCTGTCCCCCTGGTCTCTCTCTCTCTCTAGTCTCTCTCTGGTCTCTCTCTGGTCTCTCTCTGGTCTCTCTCTGGTGTCTCTCTAGTCCCTCCCCCTGGTCTCTCTCTGGTCTCTCTCTAGTCTCTCCCCCTGGTCTCTGTCCCCCTGGTCTCTCTCTCTCTCTAGTCTCTCTCTGGTCTCTCTCTGGTCTCTCTCTGGTCTCTCTCTTTTGTCTCTCTAGTCCCTCCCCCTGGTCTCTCTCTGGTCTCTCTCTGGTGTCTCTCTAGTCTCTCTCTGGTCTCTCTCTGGTCTCTCTCTAGTCTCTCTCTGGTGTCTCTCTAGTCTCTCTCTGGTCTCTCTCTGGTCTCTCTCTAGTCCCTCCCCCTGGTCTCTCTCTGGTCTCTCTCTGGTGTCTCTCTAGTCTCTCTCTGGTCTCTCTCTACTCTCTCTCTAGTCTCTCCCCCTGGTCTCTGTCCCCCTGGTCTCTCTCTCTCTAGTCTCTCTCTGGTCTCTCTCTGGTCTCTCTCTGGTGTCTCTCTAGTCTCTCTCTAGTCCCTCCCCCTGGTCTCTCTCTGGTCTCTCTCTGGTGTCTCTCTAGTCTCTCTCTGGTCTCTCTCTACTCTCTCTCTAGTCTCTCCCCCTGGTCTCTGTCTTTCTAGTTTCTCTCTAGTCTCTCTCTGGTCTCTCTCTCTCTGGTCTCTCTCTCTGGTCTCTCTCTCTGGTCTCTCTCTCTCCGGTCTCTCTCTCTGGTCTCTCTCTCTGGTCTCTCTCTGGTCTCTCTCTAGTCTCTCTCTGGTCTCTCTCTCTGGTCTCTCTCTCTGGTATCTCTCTCTGGTCTCTCTCTCTGGTCTCTCTCTGGTCTCTCTCTCTCTGGTCTCTCTCTCTGGTCTCTCTCTCTGGTCTCTCTCTGGTCTCTCTCTCTCTGGTCTCTCTCTGGTCTCTCTCTCTGGTCTCTCTCTGGTCTCTCTCTCTGGTCCCTCCCCCTGGTCTCTCTCTCTCTAGTCCCTCCCCCTGGTCTCTCTCTAGTCTCTCTCTGGTCTCTCTCTCTGGTCTCTCTCTGGTCTCTCTCTGGTCTCTCTCTCTGGTCTCTCTCTCTGGTCTCTCTCTCTGGTCTCTCTCTCTGGTCTCTCTCTCTCTGGTCTCTCTCTGGTCTCTCTCTCTGGTCTCTTTCTGGTCTCTCTCTCTGGTCTCTCTCTCTGGTCTCTCTCTGGTCCCTCCCCCTGGTCTCTCTCTAGTCTCTCTCTGGTCTCTCTCTGGTCTCTCTCTGGTCTCTCTCTGGTCTCTCTCTGGTCTCTCTCTGGTCTCTCTCTGGTGTCTCTCTAGTCTCTCTCTGGTCTCTCTCTGGTCTCTCTCTAGTCCCTCCCCCTGGTCTCTCTCTGGTCTCTCTCTGGTGTCTCTCTAGTCTCTCTCTGGTCTCTCTCTACTCTCTCTCTAGTCTCTCCCCCTGGTCTCTGTCTTTCTAGTTTCTCTCTAGTCTCTCTCTGGTCTCTCTCTCTCTGGTCTCTCTCTCTGGTCTCTCTCTCTCTGGTCTCTCTCTCTGGTCTCTCTCTCTGGTCTCTCTCTGGTCTCTCTCTAGTCTCTCTCTGGTCTCTCTCTCTGGTCTCTCTCTCTGGTCTCTCTCTCTGGTCTCTCTCTGGTCTCTCTCTCTCTGGTCTCTCTCTCTGGTCTCTCTCTCTGGTCTCTCTCTGGTCTCTCTCTCTCTGGTCTCTCTCTCTGGTCTCTCTCTCTGGTCTCTCTCTGGTCTCTCTCTCTGGTCTCTCTCTCTGGTCTCTCTCTGGTCTCTCTCTGGTCTCTCTCTCTCTGGTCTCTCTCTCTAGTCTCTCGCTGGTCTCTCTCTGGTCTCTCTCTCTGGTCTCTCTCTCTCTGGTCTCTCTCTGGTCTCTTTCTGGTCTCTCTCTCTGGTCTCTCTCTCTGGTCTCTCTCTCTGGTCTCTCTCTCTGGTCTCTCTCTCTGGTCTCTCTCTCTGGTCTCTCTCTGGTCTCTCTCTCTGGTCCCTCCCCCTGGTCTCTCTCTCTGGTCTCTCTCTCTGGTCTCTCTCTGGTCTCTCTCTCTCTGGTCTCTCTCTAGTCTCTCTCTGGTCTCTCTCTGGTCTCTCTCTCTGGTCTCTCTCTCTGGTCTCTCTCTCTGGTCTCTCTCTGGTCTCTCTCTCTGGTCTCTCTATCTGGTCTCTCTCTGGTCTCTCTCTCTGGTCTCTCTCTGGTCTCTCTCTCTGGTCTCTCTCTGGTCTCTCTCTCTGGTCTCTCTCTGGTCTCTCTCTCTGGTCCCTCCCCCTGGTCTCTCTCTCTCTAGTCCCTCCCCCTGGTCTCTCTCTCTCTAGTCCCTCCCCCTGGTCTCTCTCTCTAGTCTCTCTCTGGTCTCTCTCTCTGGTCTCTCTCTGGTCTCTCTCTGGTCTCTCTCTCTCTAGTCCCTCCCCCTGGTCTCTCTCTCTGGTCTCTCTCTGGTCTCTCTCTGGTCTCTCTCTCTGTTTCAGTGTGGCACAGATAAACAGGACTATAGAAAACACTCCCATCGTGTGGTGGAAAAATGAAACTACATCTTTTGTCTAAACTAAAGGTTGCATCTGTGTTTGGACTAGAAACATGTTTTAAAAAGGCATCAAGTGCTGGACGTGCACTTCACTCCCGACATAAACAACATGTCAGCCTCAGTCTGAGCAGAGACCCCCAGACCCCAGAGCTCCCTCCAGCTCATCAGGGGGAGTCCTGTTCCCAGAGCGGCTCAGAGCGGCTCAGAGCGGCTCAGAGCGGCGGACGCCACGGCCTCAGATTCAGAGGCATCGATCTTCATCACAGTCATTAAAGGGATGGAGGATATTAACACGGACCTCAGAGATTCAGTCCTGTGGTCCCAAACCAGACTCCCTCTGGGGGGGTGCCCTGGTCTCTGAGGGGGGTCTGGTTTGTGTGACATCACTATTTTGGGCTTAAATCTATGGTTTCTCTGTGATGTTGTCTTTGTAGATCCGGATATGACCATAAAAGGACTGACCAATCAGAGGCATTCATTCTGGGGGAAAACTCCAGCTTTCCTTAGCAACCTTCTTAGCAACATATCTGTCCCTGTTACAGCGCCAAGCTAACGGCGCTGATGAGGAAGATGAAGGATTACATAATGCTCTGTTTTCTCCACAGAGTAATCAACACTGTTCTGTCTAAACATGTCTCGTCTGTCACAGGTCAATGCTAATGCTAATGCTACCTATCAGTACGCTGCTAAAACTAGAGCCTCACCATGCTTGCTACAACCGGGCCAAACCTTTTAAACCAAAGAGAGACCAGAGAGAGACCAGAGAGAGATCAGAGAGAGACCAGAGAGAGAGACCAGAGAGAGACCAGAGAGAGAGACCAGAGAGAGACCAGAGAGAGACCAGAGAGAGAGACCAGAGAGAGACCAGAGAGAGAGACCAGAGAGAGATCAGAGAGAGACCAGAGAGAGACCAGAGAGAGACCAGAGAGAGATCAGAGAGAGACCAGAGAGAGAGACCAGAGAGAGACCAGAGAGAGACCAGAGAGAGACCAGAGAGAGACCAGAGAGAGACCAGAGAGAGACCAGAGAGAGACCAGAGAGAGACCAGAGAGAGAGACCAGAGAGAGACCAGAGAGAGAACAGAGAGAGACTAGAGAGAGACCAGAGAGAGACCAGAGAGAGGCCAGAGAGAGAGACCAGAGAGAGACCAGAGAGAGACTAGAAAAACCCATGTCATGGAGGCCCAAAATACATGCATGAGAAAATTATTGAACATTATTGAACCAGGAAAGTCCCGGTGAGACTCCTCTTTGTCAGAGGAGTCCTGGACCCGGAGAGAAGGCTGGACCCAGCCTCAGTCCTGGGTCTACAGTCTCGGTCCTGTGTCTACAGCCTCAGTCCTGGGTCTACAGCCTCAGTCCTGGTCTACAGCCTCAGACTTGGTCTACAGCCTCAGTCCTGGGTCTACAGCCTCAGTCCTGGGTCTACAGCCTCGGTCCTGGGTCTACAGCCTCAGTCCTGGTCTACAGCCTCGGTCCTGGGTCTACAGCCTCGGTCCTGGGTCTACAGCCTCAGTCCTTGGTCTACAGCCTCAGTCCTTGGTCTACAGCCTCAGTCCTGGGTCTACAGCCTCAGTCCTGGGTCTACAGCCTCAGTCCTGGGTCTACAGCCTCAGTCCTGGGTCTACAGCCTCAGACTTGGTCTACAGCCTCAGTCCTGGGTCTACAGCCTCAGTCCTGGGTCTACAGCCTCAGTCCTGGGTCTACAGCCTCAGTCCTGGGTCTACAGCCTCAGTCCTGGGTCTACAGCCTCAGTCCTGGGTCTACAGCCTCAGTCCTGGTCTACAGCCTCAGTCCTGGGTCTACAGCCTCAGTCCTGGTCTACAGCCTCAGTCCTGGGTCTACAGCCTCAGTCCTGGTCTACAGCCTCAGTCCTGGTCTACAGCCTCAGTCCTGGTCTACAGCCTCAGTCCTGGGTCTAAAGCCTCGGTCCTGGTTCTACAGCCTGAGTCCTGGGTCTACAGCCTCAGTCCTGGGTCTACAGCCTCAGTCCTGGGTCTACAGCCTCAGTCCTGGGTCTACAGCCTCAGTCCTGGGTCTACATACAGCCTCAGTCCTGGGTTTACAGCCTCAGTCCTGGGTCTACAGCCTCAGTCCTGGGTCTACAGCCTCATTCCTGGGTCTACAGCCTCAGTCCTGGGTCTAGAGCCTCAGTCCTGGGTCTACAGCCTCAGTCCTGGGTCTACAGCCTCAGTCCTGGGTCTACAGCCTCAGTCCTGGGTCTACAGCCTCAGTCCTGGGTCTACAGCCTCATTCCTGGGTCTACAGCCTCAGTCCTGGGTCTAGAGCCTCAGTCCTGGATCTACAGCCTCAGTCCTGGGTCTACAGCCTCAGTCCTGGGTCTACAGCCTCAGTCCTGGATCTACAGCCTCAGTCCTGGGTCTACAGCCTCAGTCCTGGGTCTACAGCCTCGGTCCTGGATCTACAGCCTCAGTCCTGGATCTACAGCCTCAGTCCTGGGTCTACAGCCTCAGTCCTGGGTCTACAGCCTCAGTCCTGGGTCTACAGCCTCAGTCCTGGGTCTACAGCCTCAGTCCTGGGTCTACAGCCTCAGTCCTGGGTCTACAGCCTCAGTCCTGGGTCTACAGCCTCATGCTCTGATACAGATCGACCACTTCAGCTAATCATGTTTTTCTTTCATTCATTCACTTAATGAGTTTCCATAAGCAGCTTCCCGGTAATCCCCCCCCTCAGAGCCCCCCCTGCACACCCCCACCTCTCTGCAGACCCCCCCCCCCCCTACAGACCCCCACCTCTCTGCAGACCCCCCCCCCCTGCAGACCCCCACAGACCCCCACCTCTCTGCAGACCCCCCCCCCTACAGACCCCCACCTCTCTGCAGACCCCCCCCCCTGCAGACCCCCACGTCTCTACAGACCCCCCCCCCCCACCTCTCTGCAGACCCCCACCTCTCTGCAGACCCCCCCCCCTGCAGACCCCCACCTCTCTGCAGACCCCCCCCCCTACAGACCCCCACCTCTCTGCAGACCCCCCCCCCTACAGACCCCCCCCCCCACCTCTCTGCAGACCCCCACCTCTCTGCAGACCCCCCCCCCTGCAGACCCCCACCTCTCTGCAGACCCCCCCCCCTGCAGACCCCCACCTCTCTGCAGACCCCCCCCCCCCTACAGACCCCCACCTCTCTGCAGACCCCCCCCCTACAGACCCCCACCTCTCTGCAGACCCCCCCCCCTACAGACCCCCACCTCTCTGCAGACCCCCCCCCCCCTACAGACCCCCACCTCTCTGCAGACCCCCCCCCTACAGACCCCCACCTCTCTGCAGACCCCCCCCCCTGCACACCCCCACCTCTCTGCAGACCCCCCCCCCTGCAGACCCCCCCCTCTCTGCAGACCCCCCCCCCCTGCAGACCCCCACGTCTCTACAGACCCCCCCCCCCCCACCTCTCTGCAGACCCCCACCTCTCTGCAGACCCCCCCCCCCTACAGACCCCCACCTCTCTGCAGACCCCCCCCCCCTGCAGACCCCCACCTCCCTGCAGACCCCCCCCCCCCGACATATGGCACCTGTTATTGGCTTTGTTTCTGGTCTGATCAGAGCAACACGTGTTTGTTACAAGTAGATTTCATATGAACAACGAATGAATGATGTTCGAACAGAAGGAGGTGCAGAAGGAGGTGCCAGTCGCAGGGAAGTGCAGAAGGAGGTGACAGTCGCAGGGAAGTGCAGAAGGAGGTGACAGTCGCAGGGAAGTGCAGAATGAGGTGACAGTCGCAGGGAGGTACAGAGGGAGGTGCCAGTCGCAGGGAGGTGCAAAAGGAGGTGACAGTCGCAGGGAGGTGCAGAAGGTGACAGTCGCAGGGAGGTGCAGAATGAGGTGACAGTCGCAGGGAGGTACAGAGGGAGGTGACAGTCGCAGGGAGGTGCAAAAGGAGGTGACAGTCGCAGGGAGGTGCAGAAGGAGGTGACAGTCGCAGGGAGGTGCAGAGGGAGGTGACAGTCGCAGGGAGGTACAGAGGGAGGTGACAGTCGCAGGGAGGTACAGAGGGAGGTGACAGTCGCAGGGAGGTACAGAGGGAGGTGACAGTCGCAGGGAGGTACAGAGGGAGGTGACAGTCGCAGGGCGGTGCAGAAGGAGATGACAGTCGCAGGGAGGTGCAAAAGGAGGTGACAGTCGCAGGGAGGTGCAGAAGGAGGTGACAGTCGCAGGGAGGTGCAGAATGAGGTGACAGTCGCAGGGAGGTGCAAAAGGAGGTGACAGTCGCAGGGAGGTACAGAGGGAGGTGACAGTCGCAGGGAGGTACAGAGGGAGGTGACAGTCGCAGGGAGGTACAGAGGGAGGTGACAGTCGCAGGGAGGTACAGAGGGAGGTGACAGTCGCAGGGAGGTGCAGAAGGAGATGACAGTCGCAGGGAGGTGCAAAAGGAGGTGACAGTCGCAGGGAGGTGCAGAAGGAGGTGACAGTCGCAGGGAGGTACAGAGGGAGGTGACAGTCGCAGGGAGGTGCAAAAGGAGGTGACAGTCGCAGAGAGGTACAGAGGGAGGTGACAGTTGCAGGGAGGTGCAAAAGGAGGTGACAGTCGCAAGGAGGTGCAAAAGGAGGTGACAGTCGCAGGGAGGTGCAGAAGGAGGTGACAGTCGCAGGGAGGTGCAGAAGGAGGTGACAGTCGCAGGGAGGTACAGAGGGAGGTGACAGTCGCAGGGAGGTGCAAAAGGAGGTGACAGTCGCAGGGAGGTGCAGAAGGAGGTGACAGTCGCAGGGAGGTGCAGAGGGAGGTGACAGTCGCAGGGAGGTGCAGAATGAGGTGACAGTCGCAGGGAGGTGCAAAAGGAGGTGACAGTCGCAGGGAGGTACAGAGGGAGGTGACAGTCGCAGGGAGGTACAGAGGGAGGTGACAGTCGCAGGGAGGTACAGAGGGAGGTGACAGTCGCAGGGAGGTACAGAGGGAGGTGACAGTCGCAGGGAGCTGCAGAAGGAGATGACAGTCGCAGGGAGGTGCAAAAGGAGGTGACAGTCGCAGGGAGGTGCAGAAGGAGGTGACAGTCGCAGGGAGGTACAGAGGGAGGTGACAGTCGCAGGGAGGTGCAAAAGGAGGTGACAGTCGCAGAGAGGTACAGAGGGAGGTGACAGTTGCAGGGAGGTGCAAAAGGAGGTGACAGTCGCAAGGAGGTGCAAAAGGAGGTGACAGTCGCAGGGAGGTGCAGAAGGAGGTGACAGTCGCAGGGAGGTGCAGAAGGAGGTGACAGTCGCAGGGAGGTACAGAGGGAGGTGACAGTCGCAGGGAGGTGCAAAAGGAGGTGACAGTCGCAGGGAGGTGCAGAAGGAGGTGACAGTCGCAGGGAGGTACAGAGGGAGGTGACAGTCGCAGGGAGGTACAGAGGGAGGTGACAGTCGCAGGGAGGTGCAGAAGGAGATGACAGTCGCAGGGAGGTGCAAAAGGAGGTGACAGTCGCAGGGAGGTGCAGAAGGAGGTGACAGTTGCAGGGAGGTACAGAAGGAGGTGACAGTCGCAGGGAGGTGCAGAGGGAGGTGACAGTCGCAGGGAGGTGCAAAAGGAGGTGACAGTCGCAGGGAGGTGCAAAAGGAGGTGACAGTCGCAGGGAGGTGCAGAAGGAGGTGACAGTCGCAGGGAGGTACAGAGGGAGGTGACAGTCGTAGGGAGGTGCAAAAGGAGGTGACAGTCGCAGGGAGGTGCAGAAGGAGGTGACAGTCGCAGGGAGGTGCAAAAGGAGGTGACAGTCGCAGGGAGGTGCAGAAGGAGGTGACAGTCGCAGGGAGGTACAGAGGGAGGTGACAGTCGCAGGGAGGTGCAGAAGGAGATGACAGTCGCAGGGAGGTGCAAAAGGAGGTGACAGTCGCAGGGAGGTGCAGAAGGAGGTGACAGTTGCAGGGAGGTACAGAAGGAGGTGACAGTCGCAGGGAGGTGCAGAGGGAGGTGACAGTCGCAGGGAGGTGCAAAAGGAGGTGACAGTCGCAGGGAGGGTGCAAAAGGAGGTGACAGTCGCAGGGAGGTGCAGAAGGAGGTGACAGTCGCAGGGAGGTACAGAGGGAGGTGACAGTCGTAGGGAGGTGCAAAAGGAGGTGACAGTCGCAGGGAGGTACAGAGGGAGGTGACAGTCGCAGGGAGGTGCAAAAGGAGGTGACAGTCGCAGGGAGGTGCAAAAGGAGGTGACAGTCGCAGGGAGGTACAGAGGGAGGTGACAGTCGCAGGGAGGTGCAGAGGGAGGTGACAGTCGCAGGGAGGTACAGAGGGAGGTGACAGTCGCAGGGAGGTACAGAGGGAGGTGACAGTCGCAAGGAGGTACAGAGGGAGGTGACAGTCGCAGGGAGGTGCAGAAGGAGGTGACAGTCGCAGGGAGGTGCAGAAGGAGGTGACAGTCGCAGGGAGGTACAGAGGGAGGTGACAGTCGCAGGGAGGTGCAGAAGGAGGTGACAGTCGCAGGGAGGTGCAGAAGGAGGTGACAGTCGCAGGGAGGTACAGAGGGAGGTGACAGTCGCAGGGAGGTGCAGAAGGAGGTGACAGTCGCAGGGAGGTGCAGAAGGAGGTGACAGTCGCAGGGAGGTACAGAGGGAGGTGACAGTCGCAGGGAGGTGCAGAGGGAGGTGACAGTCGCAGGGAGGTACAGAGGGAGGTGCCAGTCGCAGGGAGGTGCAGAAGGAGGTGCCAGTCGCAGGGAGGTGCAGAAGGAGGTGCCAGTCGCAGGGAGGTGCAGAAGGAGGTGCCAGTCGCAGGGAGGTGCAGAAGGAGGTGACAGTCGCAGGGAGGTGCAGAAGGAGGTGCCAATCGCTGGGAGGTGCAGAGGGAGGTGACAGTCGCAGGGAGGTGCAGAAGGAGGTGACAGTCGCAGGGAGGTACAGAGGGAGGTGACAGTCGCAGGGAGGTGCAGAGGGAGGTGACAGTCGCAGGGAGGTGCAGAAGGAGGTGACAGTCGCAGGGAGGTACAGAGGGAGGTGACAGTCGCAGGGAGGTACAGAGGGAGGTGACAGTCGCAGGGAGGTGCAGAAGGAGGTGACAGTCGCAGGGAGGTACAGAGGGAGGTGACAGTCGCAGGGAGGTACAGAGGGAGGTGACAGTCGCAGGGAGGTGCAGAAGGAGGTGACAGTCGCAGGGAGGTACAGAGGGAGGTGACAGTCGCAGGGAGGTGCAGAGGGAGGTGACAGTCGCAGGGAGGTGCAGAAGGAGGTGCCAGTCGCAGGGAGGTGCAGGTCATTGTGTGCAGACAGACTGAGTGAGAGTCTTTTTCACCAACTTTAAAAGACGGATCTTGGAACTACTTTTACTTTTTTGAGCTTGTGGTAAAAATAAAAAACATTATAATAATAATAATCAGGAATGTACCGATAACGCTTCTGTCAAAACCGATACGAGTACTTTAATTGGAGTACTTTAATTGGAGTACTTGCCGATACCAAATACTGATACGAGTCGTTTGTGAGAATTCATAAAACTAATACAACTGAAATCTATGTTTAATTTTACATGATTTAACAGTTAAACATTTTACACATTGTTTTAACAGTCAACAATAAAAGCCACATGTTTCACTCAGAGAAATAGCTCCGGTGCTAGCTCTGCTGCTAGCTCCGGTGCTAGCTCTGCTGCTAGCTCTGGTGCTAGCTCTGCTGCTAGCTCTGGTGCTAGCAAAGGTGCTATAGTCCGTGTGGTGAGTAAGTTGCTGGTGTTTGTTTTGGACCTCGTGACAGTTTTACACTAAGTACAGTCCGCTTTTCTCTTGTCACTCGTTTTTAAAAACTGCCAAACGCCGACATCCGCTAGCACTAGCTTGGGTGCCGTTAGCACTAGCTTGCGTGCCGGTAGCACTAGCTTGCGTGCCGGTAGCTTGCTTTCTGGCTGCCGTCTTTGGGAGATCACCATGGCAACACGTGCCGCACAGCTGTCTGCTAATGTACATTCCAATGTGAGTATTGGGTCTTATGTTACGAGTACAAGCCTTTGGTATCAACCCGAAAGTGTGTCACAAATATGAATATTAATAATACATAGTTTTCCATTACGTGCTTATTACCCATGATGCTTTGCGCGAACTGCATTTAGGGAGTCAAGCTTATATCGCACGTATCATTTATCACTGATAATTTGTCACGGATCATCTGTCCCCGTGTCGTCTAAAGCCACGGATTGGGCCGACACTGACCACGTTAAGTTATTGATGCACTGGAGTCATCTGTGAGAATCAGGAGGTTTGGATCCATATGAAACACAGAGAGACCGGTGGACTTCAGGAGGTTTGGATCCATATGAAACACAGAGAGACCAGTAGACTTCAGGAGGTTTGGATCCATATGAAACACAGAGAGACCAGTGGACTTCAGGAGGTTTGGATCCATATGAAACACAGAGAGACCGGTGGACTTCAGGAGGTTTGGATCCATATGAAACACAGAGAGACCGGTGGACTTCAGGAGGTTTGGATCCATATGAAACACAGAGACCAGTGGACTTCAGGAGGTTTGGATCCATATGAAACACAGAGAGACCAGTGGACTTCAGGAGGTTTGGATCCATATGAAACACAGAGAGACCAGTGGACTTCAGGAGGTTTGGATCCATATGAAACACAGAGAGACCAGTGGACTTCAGGAGGTTTGGATCCATATGAAACACAGAGAGACCAGTGGACTTCAGGAGGTTTGGATCCATATGAAACACAGAGAGACCAGTGGACTTCAGGAGGTTTGGATCCATATGAAACACAGAGAGACCAGTGGACTTCAGGAGGTTTGGATCCATATGAAACACAGAGAGACCAGTGGACTTCAGGAGGTTTGGATCCATATGAAACACAGAGAGACCAGTGGACTTCAGGAGGTTTGGATCCATATGAAACACAGAGAGACCAGTGGACTTCAGGAGGTTTGGATCCATATGAAACACAGAGAGACCAGTGGACTTCAGGAGGTTTGGATCCATATGAAACACAGAGAGACCAGTGGACTTCAGGAGGTTTGGATCCATATGAAACACAGAGAGACCAGTGGACTTCAGGAGGTTTGGATCCATATGAAACACAGAGAGACCAGTGGACTTCAGGAGGTTTGGATCCATATGAAACACAGAGAGACCAGTGGACTTCAGGAGGTTTGGATCCATATGAAACACAGAGAGACCAGTGGACTTCAGGAGGTTTGGATCCATATGAAACACAGAGAGACCAGTGGACTTCAGGAGGTTTGGATCCATATGAAACACAGAGAGACCAGTGGACTTCAGGAGGTTTGGATCCATATGAAACACAGAGAGACCAGTGGACTTCAGGAGGTTTGGATCCATATGAAACACAGAGAGACCAGTGGACTTCAGGAGGTTTGGATCCATATGAAACACAGAGAGACCAGTGGACTTCAGGAGGTTTGGATCCATATGAAACACAGAGAGACCAGTGGACTTCAGGAGGTTTGGATCCATATGAAACACAGAGAGACCGGTGGACTTCAGGAGGTTTGGATCCATATGAAACACAGAGAGACCGGTGGACTTCAGGAGGTTTGGATCCATATGAAACACAGAGAGACCAGTGGACTTCAGGAGGTTTGGATCCATATGAAACACAGAGAGACCAGTGGACTTCAGGAGGTTTGGATCCATATGAAACACAGAGAGACCAGTGGACTTCAGGAGGTTTGGATCCATATGAAACACAGAGAGACCAGTGGACTTCAGGAGGTTTGGATCCATATGAAACACAGAGAGACCAGTGGACTTCAGGAGGTTTGGATCCATATGAAACACAGAGAGACCAGTGGACTTCAGGAGGTTTGGATCCATATGAAACACAGAGAGACCAGTGGACTTCAGGAGGTTTGGATCCATATGAAACACAGAGAGACCAGTGGACTTCAGGAGGTTTGGATCCATATGAAACACAGAGAGACCAGTGGACTTCAGGAGGTTTGGATCCATATGAAACACAGAGAGACCAGTGGACTTCAGGAGGTTTGGATCCATATGAAACACAGAGAGACCAGTGGACTTCAGGAGGTTTGGATCCATATGAAACACAGAGAGACCAGTGGACTTCAGGAGGTTTGGATCCATATGAAACACAGAGAGACCAGTGGACTTCAGGAGGTTTGGATCCATATGAAACACAGAGAGACCAGTGGACTTCAGGAGGTTTGGATCCATATGAAACACAGAGAGACCAGTGGACTTCAGGAGGTTTGGATCCATATGAAACACAGAGAGACCAGTGGACTTCAGGAGGTTTGGATCCATATGAAACACAGAGAGACCGGTGGACTTCAGGAGGTTTGGATCCATATGAAACACAGAGAGACCGGTGGACTTCAGGAGGTTTGGATCCATATGAAACACAGAGAGACCAGTGGACTTCAGGAGGTTTGGATCCATATGAAACACAGAGAGACCAGTGGACTTCAGGAGGTTTGGATCCATATGAAACACAGAGAGACCGGTGGACTTCAGGAGGTTTGGATCCATATGAAACACAGAGAGACCAGTGGACTTCCCAGACATGGCTTAGTTTCACTTCATGATGTATGTGATGCAATATTTCTTTCAATCAATATTTTATTTTGAACGAAGCAGTTGATATCACAGGCAGCAAATCACTTCTGTCTACACCCTCCTCCTCCTCCTCCTCCTCCTCCTCCTCCTCCTCCTCTCATTCATTTAGATGGGAGGCTTGAGGCGCCTATACAGACTGAGTATCGCAGTCTCTGAATATGAACCACAGATGCACAGATGTAGCTCTGACCTGTTATGAAACGGTCAGAACAGACCTTATTGTGCCGTTTTTCGGGGGTTAGGGTTGAATCCCTCTCGGTTGATCCAACTAAAGGGTCATTTCTCCGTCCCGAGTCGCTCCCCGGCTCGTAATAGCCTTCGGAGTGTCCCCACAATCTGCACGGTTACTGCACCCCCAAACGACACAGGCAGTCGGCATGTTTTAGCGCAAAACAGTGATTTGGCCTGATTTGGTTAGCTACAGTTAGCGGCGGCTAGACTCCCAAAATGGCGAACTGCGGAATTGTGGGTAGTGCGTGACGTCAGTGGAAAAGTATCCATAGTAGTAGTTACCGGTGTATCCCGCGGCACAGACACAGGAGAAGGCGTTGACCCGGTCCTCACAGCGGCCTCCGTTCACACACGGCTCAGACTCACACTCGTCCACGTTCACAGAACAGTTCTCTCCTGCGGCAGAAACACTTTATTATCATTAATTATACTTATTACATTGTTATATATTTATATAGTTGTTTTATATAACTATACAACTATATAAATATATAACTGTGACTGTAATGAATATGTCACTAAAACACATAAATTAAATATAATCTGCACATATCCAGTGTCAAGGAGCCTCCTCCTGCACCTCCTCCTGCACCTCCTCCTGCACCTCCTCCTGGTCTCACCGCTGTATCCCGGCTGACAGCGGCAGATGAAGCCCACGGCGTCTGCGAAGCTGAAGGAGGAGGAGCTGAGCTCAGGCAGACGGTCGTAGAGCAGGACGTCCGAGCGCTGGAAACACTGACCTCCGTGAGCACAGGGCTCCCACAGGCATTCGTCTATGTCCACCTCACAGAGGTCCCCTTCATAACCTGCAGAGGGAGGTCACATGTGAGGTCCCCTTCATAACCTGCAGAGGAGGTCACATGTGAGGTCCCCTTCATAACCTGCAGAGGAGGTCACATGTGAGGTCCCCTTCATAACCTGCAGAGGAGGTCACATGTGAGGTCCCCTTCATAACCTGCAGAGGAGGTGACATGTGAGGTCCCCTTCATAACCTGCAGAGGAGGTCACATGTGAGGTCCCCTTCATAACCTGCAGAGGGAGGTCACATGTGAGGTCCCCTTCATAACCTGCAGAGGAGGTCACATGTGAGGTCCCCTTCATAACCTGCAGAGGAGGTCACATGTGAGGTCCCCTTCATAACCTGCAAAGGAGGTCACGTGTGAGGTCCCCTTCATAACCTGCAGAGGAGGTCACATGTGAGGTCCCCTTCATAACCTGCAGAGGAGGTCACATGTGAGGTCCCCTTCATAAACCTGCAGAGGAGGTCACATGTGAGGTCCCCTTCATAACCTGCAGAGGAGGTCACATGTGAGGTCCCCTTCATAACCTGCAGAGGAGGTCACATGTGAGGTCCCCTTCATAACCTGCAGAGGAGGTCACATGTGAGGTCCCCTTCATAACCTGCAGAGGAGGTCACATGTGAGGTCCCCTTCATAACCTGCAGAGGAGGTCACATGTGAGGTCCCCTTCAAAACCTGCAGAGGGAGGTCACATGTGAGGTCCCCTTCATAACCTGCAGAGGAGGTCACATGTGAGGTCCCCTTCATAACCTGCAGAGGAGGTCACATGTGAGGTCCCCTTCATAACCTGCAGAGGAGGTCACATGTGAGGTCCCCTTCAAAACCTGCAGAGGGAGGTCACATGTGAGGTCCCCTTCATAACCTGCAGAGGGAGGTCACATGTGAGGTCCCCTTCATAACCTGCAGAGGAGGTCACATGTGAGGTCCCCTTCATAACCTGCAGAGGAGGTCACATGTGAGGTCCCCTTCATAACCTGCAGAGGAGGTCACATGTGAGGTCCCCTTCAAAACCTGCAGAGGAGGTCACATGACACAGATATGTGTCAAAAATGTCTTTAAATCTAATCAGATTATAAAAAGTAGTCATTCCTAACACAGAGTTGTAGCTTGTTCCAAACCCCAGCAGGTGGGTTGCATCAGTGCTCATGGTCAGGGTGGCTGTGATTGTAGTGAGAGCTGATACTTGAGTAAAACAGTAGAGTATTAAAGATAAACACAGTCTCTCTCCTGAATCCACAGCTGCTCCGGCTCTGAGGCGTCAGGACCTGTCCTGCAGCTGTGGCCCTCACACACGTCTGCTTTTCTCTCAAACAACTGAAAGAATCAGCAACAATTCAGATGTTTGTGAAGCTGAGGGCCTGTAGTTTTGGCCTCTGATGACTCTTATTATAAGTGGGAGCATCGCCTCCACAGCACGTGTCGTAAACGCTGCTGACGTTTGGCTTAAACCTACATCGTGTAAATCTGTGCCACACCTGGGGCTGACGTGTTGCTAAGGCGGTTGCTAAGGCAAGCCGGAGGAATGAAGGCCTCTGATTGGTTAAAAAGCTCATATCTGCAGACTGGGGGCGGTAACATGGAGAGGGGCAGTTATTCTGTTTGTTTAGTCCCAAGAGCAGGATGTAAACCGCTCTGTGCTGCTTTGTTCTGGAGGATTTACTGTGGGAGCAAAGACCCAGAACCTCCAGCCAGAGGAGGTGCGTGTGAGAGGAGGTGAAAGAGGAGGAGGTGAGGGTGAGAGGAGGTGAGAGGAGGTGCGTGTGAGAGGAGGTGAAAGAGGAGGAGGTGAGGGTGAGAGGAGGTGAGGGTGAGGTGGTGAGTGTGAGGAGGTGAGGGTGTGAGGAGGTGAGAGGAGGTGAGTGTGAGAGGAGGTGAAAGAGGAGGAGGTGAATGTGAGAGGAGGTGAGGGTGTGAGGAGGTGAGAGGAGGTGAGGGTGTGAGGAGGTGAGAGGAGGTGAGGGTGAGGTGGTGAGTGTGAGGAGGTGAGTGTGAGAGGAGGTGAAAGAGGAGGAGGTGAGTGTGAGAGGAGGTGAAAGAGGAGGAGGTGAGTGTGAGAGGAGGTGAGGGTGAGGTGGTGAGTGTGAGGAGGTGAGTGTGAGAGGAGGTGAAAGAGGAGGAGGTGAGTGTGAGAGGAGGTGAAAGAGGAGGAGGTGAGTGTGAGAGGAGGTGAAAGAGGAGGAGGTGAGGAGGTGAGGGTGAGTTGGTGAGTGTGAGAGGAGGTGAAAGAGGAGGAGGTGAGTGTGAGAGGAGGTGAGGGTGAGGTGGTGAGTGTGAGGAGGTGAGTGTGAGAGGAGGTGAAAGAGGAGGAGGTGAGTGTGAGAGGAGGTGAAAGAGGAGGAGGTGAGTGTGAGAGGAGGTGAGTGTGAGAGGAGGTGAGAGGAGGAGGTGAATGTGAGAGGAGGTGGGTGTGAGAGGAGGAGGTGGGAGGAGGTGGTACCTGCCCAGCACTGGCAGTAGAAGCGGTTGACTCCGTCCAAACACGTGGCTCCGTTCTGACACGGGTCTGAGGCACATTCAGGGATGTCCTCCTCACAGTGAAGCCCCACGAAACCAGTACCATCACACACACACTGGTACCTGTGGAGAGGGACCAGAGTGAGACCAGAGGGAGACCAGAGGGAGACCAGAGAGAGACCAGAGAGAGACCAGAGAGAGACCAGAGAGAGACCAGAGAGAGGCCAGAGAGAGACCAGAGAGAGACCAGAGGAGAGACCAGAGAGAGACCGGAGGGAGACCAGAGGGAGACCAGAGGGAGACCAGAGGGAGACCAGAGGGAGACCAGAGAGAGACCAGAGGGAGACCAGAGAGAGACCAGAGAGAGACCAGAGAGAGACCAGAGGGAGACCAGAGGGAGACCAGAGGGAGACCAGAGAGAGAGACCAGAGAGAGACCAGAGAGAGACCAGAGGGAGACCAGAGGGGCACCAGAGGGAGACCAGAGGGAGACCAGAGGGAGACCAGAGAGAGACCAGAGAGAGACCAGAGGGAGACCAGAGAGAGACCAGAGAGAGACCAGAGAGAGACCAGAGAGAGACCAGAGGGAGACCAGAGGGGCACCAGAGGGAGACCAGAGGGAGACCAGAGGGAGACCAGAGGGAGACCAGAGGGAGACCAGAGAGAGACCAGAGGGAGACCAGAGGGGCACCAGAGGGAGACAAGAGGGAGACCAGATAGAGACCAGAGAGAGACCAGAGAGAGACCAGAGGGAGACCAGAGGGAGACCAGAGGGAGACCAGAGGGGCACCAGAGGGAGACCAGAGGGAGACCAGAGAGAGACCAGAGAGAGACCAAAGAGAGACCAGAGAGAGACCAAAGAGAGACCAAAGAGAGACCAGAGAGAGAGACCAGAGAGAGACCAGAGAGAGACCAGAGAGAGACCAGAGAGAGACCAAAGAGAGACCAAAGAGAGACCAGAGAGAGACCAGAGAGAGACCAGAGAGAGACCAGAGAGAGAGACCAGAGAGAGACCAGAGACAGACCAGTGAGAGACCAGAGAGAGACCAGAGAGAGACCAGAGAGAGACCAGAGAGAGACCAGAGAGAGACCAGAGAGAGACCAGAGACAGACCAGAGAGAGACCAGAGACAGACTAGTGAGAGACCAGAGAGAGGCCAGAGAGAGACCAGAGAGAGACCAGAGAGAGACCAGAGAGAGACCAGAGAGAGACCAGAGAGAGACCAGAGAGAGACCAGAGTGAGACCAGAGAGAGACCAGAGAGAGACCAGAGAGAGACCAGAGAGAGACCAGAGAGAGACCAGAGAGAGACCAGAGTGAGACCAGAGAGAGACCAGAGAGAGACCAGAGAGAGACCAGAGAGAGCAGTCCTTTTTTTAATTGTGTCGCATTTTAAAACCTCCCTAATTTTTATTATACGCTCCTCTGGTCCTTGTTGTCAGTCAACGACATGTATGTTGGAGAGGTCTCTGTCCTCTTCTCCTCCTCTCTGCTCCTCCTCTCTGCTCCTCCCATCTGCTCCTCCTCTCTGCTCCTCCTCCAGTCTCCTCCTCTCTGCTCCTCGTCACTGCCCCTCCCCTCTGCTCCTCCTCTCTGCTCCTCCTCTCTCCTCCTCCTCTCTGCTCCTCCTCCAGTGTCCTCCTCCAGTCTCCTCCTCTCTGCTGCTCCCCTCTGCTCCTCCTCTCTGCTCCTCCTCCAGTCTCCTCCTCTCTGCTCCTCGTCACTGCCCCTCCCCTCTGCTCCTCCTTTCTGCTCCTCCTCTCTCCTCCTCCTCTCTGCTCCTCCTCCAGTGTCCTCCTCCAGTCTCCTCCTCTCTGCTGCTCCCCTCTGCTCCTCCTCTCTGCTCCTCCTCCAGTCTCCTCCTCTCTGCTCCTCGTCACTGCCCCTCCCCTCTGCTCCTCCTTTCTGCTCCTCCTCTCTGCTCCTCCTCTCTGCTCCTTCCCTCTGCTCCTCCTCTCTGCTCCTCCTCCAGTCTCCTTCCCTCTGCGCCTCCCCTCTGCTCCTCCTCTCTGCTCCTCCTCTCTGCTCCTCATCTCTGCTCCTCCCCTCTGCTCCTCCTCGCTGCTCCTCCCCTCTGATCCTCCCATCTGCTCCTCCCCTCTGATCCTCCTCTCTGCTCCTCCTCTCTGCTCCTCCCATCTGCTCCTCCCCTCTGCTCCTCCCCTCTGCTCCTCCCCTCTGCTCCTCCCCTCTGCTCCTCCTTTCTGCTCCTCCCCTCAGTTCCTCCTCTCTGCTCCTCCCCTCTGCTCCTCCCCTCTGCTCCTCCTCTCTGCTCCTCCTCTCTGCTCCTCCCCTCTGCTCCTCCTCTCTGCTCCTCCCCTCTGCTCCTCCCCTCTGCTCCTCCTCTCTGCTCCTCCTCTCTGCTCCTCCTCTCTGCTCCTCCTCTCTGCTCCTCCCCTCTGCTCCTCCTCTCTGCTCCTCCTCTCTGCTCCTCCTCTCTGCTCCTCCTCTCTGCTCCTCCCCTCTGCTCCTCCTCTCTGCTCCTCCTCTCTGCTCCTCCTCTCTGCTCCTCCTCTCTGCTCCTCCTCCAGTGCAGGTATTGTGAGCTCCCAGAGGCTCATCATAATCAGATTAATCTGCATCAACTGTAATGTCTGCAGCACTCGTCATGTGACCAAGTCTGAGTCTGACTCTGTGGACCGGGTCTCAGTCTAACCCTGGGGACCGGGTCTGAGTCTGACCCTGTGGACCGGGTCTCAGTCTGACCCTGTGGACCGGGTCTCAGTCTGACCCTGTGGACCGGGTCTTAGTCTGACCCTGTGGACCGGGTCTTAGTCTGACCCTATGGACCGGGTCTGACCCTGTGGACCGGGTCTTAGTCTGACCCTGTGGACCGGGTCTCAGTCTGACCCTGTGGACCAGTCTGACCCTTAGGACCGGGTCTTAGTCTGACCCTGTGGACCGGGTCTGAGTCTGACCCTGTGGACCGGGTCTCAGTCGGAACCTGTGGACCGGGTCTCAGTCTGACCTTGTGGACCGGGTCTCAGTCTGACCCTGTGGACCGGGTCTCGGGTCTCAGTCTGACCCTGTGGACCGGGTCTCAGTCTGACCTTGTGGACCGGGTCTCAGTCTGACCCTGTGGACCGGGTCTCGGGTCTCAGTCTGACCCTGTACGGATACACTGATAGAATAGAAAGTGTGACATCACCTGTTGACGGCGTCCACACAGAGGCCGTGGTGCAGACAGGGGGCGCTGCTGCACTCGTCGATGTCCACCTCACAGTCCGGGCCCTCGAAGCCCGGGACGCACTGGCACCGGTACCGAGCCACTAGGTCCAGACACGTGGCCCCGTTCTGACAGGGGCCCGGCTCACACTCATCCACCTCCACCTCGCAGTTAACACCTGTGTAAGACCACAGCCGCACAGTTAACACCTGTGTAAGACCACAGCCGCACAGTTAACACCTGTGTAAGACCACAGCCGCACAGTTAACACCTGTATACAACCACAGCCGCACAGTTAACACCTGTTTACAACCACAGCCGCACAGTTAACACCTGTATACAACCACAGCCGCACAGTTAACACCTGTATACAACCACAGCCGCACAGTTAACACCTGTTTACAACCACAGCCGCACAGTTAACACCTGTATGCAACCACAGCCGCACAGTTAACACCTGTATACAACCACAGCCGCACAGTGAACACCTGTATACAACCACAGCCGCACAGTTAACACCTGTATACAACCACAGCCGCACAGTTAACACCTGTATACAACCACAGCCGCACAGTTAACACCTGTATGCAACCACAGCGGCACAGTGAACACCTGTATACAACCACAGCCGCACAGTTAACACCTGTATTCAACCACAGCCGCACAGTTAACACCTGTATACAACCACAGCCGCACAGTTAACACCTGTTTACAACCACAGCTGCACAGTTAACACCTGTATACAACCACAGCCGCACTGTTAACACCTGTATACAACCACAGCCGCACTGTTAACACCTGTGTAAGACCACAGCCGCACAGTTAACACAAGTATACAACCACAGCCGCAGAGTTAACACCAGTGTAAGACCACCGCTGCACAGTTAACACCTGTTTACAACCACAGCCGCACAGTTAACACCTGTTTACAGCCGCACAGTTAACGCCTGTATACAACCACAGCTGCACAGTTAACACCTGTGTACAACCACAGCCGCACAGTTAACACCTGTATACAACCACAACCACAGAGTTAACACCTGTATGCAACCACAGCCGCACAGTTAACACCTGTATACAACCACACAGTTAACACCTGTATACAACCACAGCCGCACAGATAACACCTGTATACAACCACAACCACAAAGTTAACACCTGTATACAACCACACAGTTAACACCTGTGTACCATCACTACCACACAGTTAACGCCTGTATACAACCACAACCGCACAGTTAACACCTGTGTACAACCACACAGTTAACACCTGTGTACCATCACAACCACACAGTTAACACCTGTATACAACCACACAGTTAACACCTGTATACAACCACACAGTTAACACCTGTGTACCATCACTACCACACAGTTAACGCCTGTATACAACCACAACCGCACAGTTAACACCTGTGTACAACCACACAGTTAACACCTGTGTACCATCACAACCACACAGTTAACACCTGTATACAACCACACAGTTAACACCTGTACCATCACAACCACACAGTTAACACCTGTGTACAACCACAGCCGCACAATTAACATCTGTATACAACCACACAGTTAACACCTGTATACAACCACAGCCGCACAGCTAACACCTGTATACAACCACAGCCGCACAGCTAACACCTGTATACAACCACAACACAACACACAGTTAACATCTGTCTACAACCACACAGTTAACACCTGTGTACCCATCACAATGTACAACCACACAGTTAACACCTGTATACCATCACAACCACACAGTTAACACCTGTTACCACAGTTTACACCGTCCACAGCTTTAACACTGTTTACAACCACACGCAGTTAACACTGTATACCTGTAACACCTGTATACAACCACAACCACACAGTACAACCACACAGCCACACAGTTAACACCTGTATACACCACAGACGCACAGTTAACACCTGTAACTACCACACACAGCACCTGTCACCCAGTTAACACCTGTATACACCACAGCCGCACAGTTAACACCTGTATACAACCACAACCACACAGTTAAACATCTGTGTACAACCACACAGTTAACACCTGTGTACCATCACAACCACACAGTTAACACCTGTATACCATCACAACCACACAGTTAACACCTGTATACAACCACACAGTTAACACCTGTGTACCATCACAACCACACAGTTAACACCTGTATACAACCACACAGTTAACACCTGTATACAACCACACAGTTAACACCTGTATACAACCAGACAGTTAACACCTGTATACAACCACAGCCGCACAGCTAACACCTGTATACAACCACAACCACACAGTTAACATCTGTATACAACCACACAGTTAACACCTGTGTACCATCACAACCACACAGTTAACACCTGTATACCATCACAACCACACAGTTAACACCTGTGTACCATCACAACCACACAGTTAACACCTGTATACAACCACACAGTTAACACCTGTATACAACCACAGCCGCACAGCTAACACCTGTATACAACCACAACCACACAGTTAACATCTGTATACAACCACACAGTTAACACCTGTGTACCATCACAACCACACAGTTAACACCTGTATACCATCACAACCACACAGTTAACACCTGTATACAACCACACAGTTTAACACACACATCCCACAACACACAGTTAACACCTGTATACAACCACACAGTTAACACCTGTATACAAACCACACAGTTAACACCTGTATACAACCACAGGCCGCAAAGGCTAACACCTGTTATACAACCCACAGCCGCACATTAACATCTGTATACAACCACACAGTTAACACCTGTATACAACCACAGCCGCACAGTAACACCTGTATACAACCACAGCCGCACACAGTTAACATCTGTATACAACCACACAGTTAACACCTGTGTACCATCAAAACCACACAGTTAACACCTGTATACAACCACACAGTTAACACCTGTATACAACCACACAGTTAACAGAGCGCTACTTAGTATTGTGATGGGGGACCTCTGAAGCTAAGCAAGGCAGGGCCTGGTTAGTGCTGTGATGGGAGACCTCTGAACAGCAGGTGCCACAGTGAGGCGGCTGTGGCTGTAAAGTGTCAAACTGTGGTTGTGTCCTTAGGCAAGACACTTCCCCCACATTAGAATGAGTCTGGTCTCTCTCTGGTCTCTCTAGTCTCTATCTGGCCTCTATCTGGTCTCTCTCTGGTCTCTCTCTGGTCTCTCTCTCTGGCCTCTCTCTGGTCTCTCTCTGGTCTCTCTCTGGTCTCTCTCTGGTCTCTCTGCCTCTCTCTGGTCTCTCTCTGGTCTCTCTCTGGTCTCTCTCTGGTCTGTCTCTGGTCTCTCTGGCCTCTATCTGGTCTCTCTCTGGTCTCTCTCTCTGGTCTCTCTCTGGCCTCTCTCTGGTCTCTCTCTCTGGTCTCTCTGGTCTTTCTCTGGTCTCTCTCTGGTCTCTCTCTGGTCTCTCTCTCTGGTCTCTCTGGTCTCTCTCTGGTCTCTCTCTGGCCTCTCTCTGGTCTCTCTCTGGTCTCTCTGGTCTCTCTCTGGTCTCTCTCTGGCTCTCTGGTCTCTCTCTGGTCTCTCTGGTCTCTCTCTGGTCCCTCTCTGGTCTCTCTCTGGTCTCTCTCTGGTCTCT